GGGGGGGGGGGGGGTTCAGACTGAGGTATATCTCAAGCTCATGGCATATCTATGTACTTAAAAATAAATGTCTTGATTCTTGCACTCAAATCAATAGCTACTCCAGTAAGACCAATGGAATAAACCTAAAATAAAAGAGGAGAATCAGGCCCACATTCAAGAGATCCAAAACAGAGTTAATTCACTTAGAAAAAAACAATAAACAAACAAAACAAAACAAAACAAAACAAAACAAAACAAAACAAAACAAAACAAAACAAAACAAAACAATCTGCCGGTCACTTAGAATTGTTTTGTATACTCCAACACTTCTTTTAAAGGAAAATATCTAGATGTAGAAAAAATATGAACCTGCAAATTAATCTCTCTCTCTCTCTACACACACACACACACACACACACACACACACACACACACACACAATCTAGCAATCCATCTCTAACCATCTATCCACCAATCCCCAGTAATGTAAAAATCTTGTTAAAATGTAAGGTTTATTAAAGAGCTCTATGAATTCCTATTGAAAAAAAAGCAAAGGGGGAAAAGCCTTAATGGCAAAAGCAGCAGCTTAATACAGCAAGCTGCTGTGACATGTGTCAGCTAACTTAAATTTAATTATGGCAAATTACACTTTGCCAATATATTAGTGACAGCAATCACCACGTGTCACTTCAGAGAGGCAGTAAATTCACATAATTATTAATTGTTTAAGCTCAATGATGACCAAAAAAACTCCAAAACTGTACTCTTCTAAAAAAGCCATTCTGACCAGACATTTACTTTGACTGCTATATTTATATGACATTGAAATATTAAAACACTGGTTTCATCAACACTTCCCAAAGAAAAATACAATTAACAAAAATGTTTTCCTGCACTAATCATTCAGTATCACTTTTGTATTGTAATGCAATTACACAGAGGGATTTGTAAACAAGTTAATTAAAATCCTTGGGGGTGGAGGGGTCCCAGCTGTGTTCTGTATCAAGTTAACTTCCTAAACCACCTTGTTCCAGTTTTCTACCTTTAAAATACCATAGATTTCATGAGGGGTGGGGAAGAGGAAAGGTATGCAGGAGGGGCTTGTAGACCACTAAGTAAAGATTATGTGCAAATCTTTGAGGTATGGGACTTTTGGAACTCTCCCTGTAGCCATTTATTCAAACAAGGGCTTTAGGACTTACTTATTGCACTAAACCTTTATTTAGAGGAGTAAATGAAAGCCTGAGCACTTCTCAATAGGCACATCTACATGTTCATTAATGCACAGTAGTGACTGGAATCACAGCTTATGGTAGAGGTGATATCTTTTATTAGACCAAATAGATTTTTGCACAAAAAAAAATTCTTTAATTTTCATCCTTAACCTTTTTCGTAATTAAGTACCAACTAAATGCACAGTAACTACAATTACTGCACAGTAGTGCCAATGTACGGGGTGGGGGGGGTGACAGTTACTGTGCAGTAGCCTAACAACACCACACAGTAGTTTATTAGCATGGTTTTTGACCAGCACGTTACCGCTCAGTGTTATTAAGCTACCACATAGTAAGCATCTCATGTAAATGTGCCCACTGTCTACATGATTGGGTCTGTAAACAAGCCACAAAATGTGTGGAGCGTAGGGAGCTTAGGATACAACATACAGTAAGAAAAATAGACTTAAAATCCCGTTATGAAATATTCTTGTTGTTGTACTGAAAGTGTGCTCAAAGGGCTCAGCTATACTAATACATTTATTTGCCATATGGTGATAACTAAGAACCCTTCTCAAAGGTGAAAGCCCTATCATGATGTGTTCAAGCATGCAATAAAGAGACAATGTCTTCTCCATAGATCTCATTTTTTATTTCTATAAACATATGGGTGAAATGAAGAGAAAGGGAAGCTTGGGAGTAGAAGGACAAGGCAATAGATCAGTAGTAGCCCAGCCATCTGGTAGCATTTTGGAAGCACCCTTTAAAGATAAATCTAAAGGCATCCCTCCTTTAAGCATTACAGTCAGCTGAAACAGAGAGGGGTGGAACGGGACACAAGCTTAGGTCTAGAATCATATAAAGCACTTGGAAATTGCTAACAAAATAATACTTAAATAGTTAAGTGGAACCTGGGTCTCTCAAGTAAGCACCTACCCATCATGCTGGAGCATCATCCTCACTCTCTGTCTGGCTCAGTACAGATTTAGTTATTTTTTTATGAAGTGAAATAGCTTCAACACACAAGATCGAGAGAGACCATTTAGAATACACATTAGGCTAGTGCTCAATGCACTGTCCTAGGACGTGGGATATCAAGTTCCTGCTCCAAATCAGGAAGATGTAAGATTTGAAGCTGGTCTTTTACGTCACAAATGAGTGCTCTGGGCTGCATTTTGTGTGGATTCTCTGAAATCACCTACCAGGTCCAGACCCCAGGAGGGGAATGTTTAGTCTGTGATTCCCTTCAGGAGTTAGGTGCCAGATAGATATCAAGCAGTTCAGTGTATTCAAGACCCAGACAGCTACATAAATGCCCACAGGCAGAAATGTAAGAGATCATTCCAAACTTAGGGGCTAAAAATCCTGTTCCAGCTCCACATGGCACTTACCTACCATCTAAGAGCTATTTTTCAGGGATAAAGGTTGTAACCATCTTGGTCTACAGGCAAAAGCAATCAGAACTCTTGGGAGAGATGATATCTTTTATTAGACCAACTAGGTAGCTAGTTTAATAAAAGATATCACCTCTACCAAGAGTTCTGATTGCTAAGAACAATTTTTGGCACTTATGCATTGTGTGGATTCTATTTCCACCTATGGAGGCAAAATTTCTCCCTCACTCATAACTGATTAAATTAAAATGGAAAAGGAACAACCTCCTATGTTTTAGCCCAATAGCCTAGCAGCTAGGGCACTTGCTCAGGGATAAGGAAAAATAGCTTCTAGGACCCTCAGCAAGAAAACCCTTGAACCCACAGCTCCTGTTTCTCAGCCAAGTGCTAGGCCTGTGTGAAGCACCTAGTATTTGCTTCAGATTCAGCCAATTTGGGGGGCAGTGATTCAATTCAGCAATTCGAATCACTGTCCTGAATTGATTTGGCCGAATCTGATTCAGAGACTCAGCCACCACTGAATCAGCCAAATCTCCAAATCAAATCGGCCCCATCCCCCACCTGCTCTCCCAGCCCCATTAACAGCTGCCCCGCCTCGCCCCAGCATCCCAGCACTTAAAAAAAAAAGCCCCGCACTCCCTGGCTTCTGCCAGCTAGAGGGGGCAATCTCCATTGTCCCCCACTGCCCAGAGCTGTGGGGGTGAGAGGGCTCTGCCATGATCCCCCAGAGGCTCTTATGGCTGCTGCAGCAGCTGGTGACTATGGGGCCTTTAAAAAAAAATGTTTTAAGTGCCAAGACACTGGAGCCAGGCGGGGCAGCCGTTGATGGAGCTGGGAGAGTGGGTGGGGGGCGGGGAGTGCTCAGGGAGACTGGGGGAGCAGGCAAGGGATGAGGCCTGGCAAAAATCCCCCCCCGCCATGGTCCCCTGCCCCCTCCAGCCCCTCTCCCCGTCCCCTACTTACCAGCACCAACTCCCTGCGGCAGCGAGCAGGGAGTGCCCAAATCTCCTCCAAATTTTTTTTAAATCAATTTGGAGGCTTTCAATTGATTTGGAAATTTTGGTCTCCTGATTTGATTCAGATTCAGAGATTTGGCCACCAAATCAGGCTGAATCTCCTCCGAATCGAATCAGCAACCAAAGCTTCACACAGCCCTACTAATCATCACATCACAGGCATTGCCCACAGTGCTCTCCATCCTATCAAGATGACCCATTACCCCTTACATTTTTTTATTAAATGGATACATAGCATTAGGGTAGTTTTATTCCCCATTGGGACAGTGGCCCAGGTTAGCAACAGGTTTCCCTCCATTGCAGTCCAGCATCCATCTAACTAAGCTACCCTCCCTGAGGCTTAGTCTCCTCCTTCTGGCCCACATATAGAATCCCTTTCTAGCTAACCACTGGGTCAGCTTCAAGAAGAGGACTGGAGAGGGGTCTGGATAAAACAATCTCCAGGCTAGTGGTTTTAGCATGTGGATGAGAAGCAGAAAATACAGGTCAACCTCAGTTTGAATAAGGGGAGTGCATAGAACCTTGGTCTTCTGCTCCCTAGACACATATATACATATTAAATTGCTCCTATAGATACCTAAGCTCCTTACAAATCTAGTCCAAAGTGGTCTGCATAAGGGTAACTACACATTTTCTTAATTCTATCATTTCCCTCCTCCTCAAGGCTAACAAAAGTTAAAATACACAACTCTATTTTTTTTCTGGAATCGTGCATGAGAGAGCGCGTGCCAGGAAAACAAGAACATTAAATATGCAATATGTTTTCAAGGAAATCTTGTGTTATTCTACAGTACAGTCGACATGTTATTCAAATGAAGCAAAGTAGAAAAACTCACTATTATAACTGATGTTAAATCCACGTCCTGACATTGAGTGATCAGCTTGAAATTCTAGGCGTAATATATGCCCATTACTGGTAAGATGGGAAGGAACCTCAGCACCAGTGAACGTGCCAAGCAGTGGAGAATCTGGAGAGTCACCATCTTTTACTGCAAGAAAGTCAAACTGAGATTCCAAATCAAAGTCATTAAAAGAGAGATGGATCCGGCTCCCAGGGTCTGAGATTATTGTCCAGATGCAATTTAAATTATTTCCATATCCCTCTGGGTAGTCAGGTGAAAGAACTGTTCCCATTGGTGCAGTGAAATTGGAAAGGCAAGGAACTGTCAGAGAGAAAGAAATTAGAGAACAAAATAAAAGCTATTTTCAAGAGGGTTTTCTCATATTATTTTTTCTTCCTAAGAGATCCTTAAAACATGCTTATTTCCTCCACTGAAAAAGCTAATATTGTTTAGGACCAGCTGAGAAACAAAAAGAGAACTTTTCAAATTGATTTGCTTTTTCTGGTGTCTTCTTACTCCTTTTCTGTCTATATGACTAACTCCTAAAAGCAGCCCCCAGGGTCACATACAATACCAATGGTACACTAAAAACCATAGCAGTCCTCATGATTTATCCATGTTCAGCAGTGTTTAATCACTTGACACCACTTATTTTGTCCTTTAGGGAACTGTTTAGATGAACAAACCTCTCATTGAGTACATTACAAGTCAGAAGGTCAATGCTGACATTATAATTTTAGCTTACACATACGCACAAAAATTGAACAGGCCAAAAAGAAATGGTAGCTTTGTTTTGCTGTTATGAAGATAATATTTTATATTTAACTGTGCTATTTAAGTGATACTACATTAATTTACAATAAGGTAAACAAGTGATTCTGCTCTTAATATATCTGGCCTATATTTTTTTTTAATGTAAATGCTAGGAGAGAAATGTGTTTGTTACCACAAATATATATTATAGCATTGATTAAGTTTATTCTGTATAATATTATTGGTAGACACCTAAAATATACATCTCTATGATCATTTAAAGGTCTTAAATATAGTCATGCATAATGCATGGAAATATCTGTAAATAATTTAAATGCCCTTGATTGCAATTCAGCAACTACTAACCTGATGAAATAAATTAACTTATAATAGCAGCTATAAAAAGTATATAATGCACATAAAATATACTGCCTCCTCCCAAGTACAGTATGTCAACAATAAAATGTTATATGGAGGCACATAATAATACCCCATTTAATAATTGTTATTTGAAAACAGAAAACGTGTAAGTGGTCATGGAACTTACATTTGGCATAAATACATTATGAAGCTATCACTGCAGAAAAGTAAATTCAACTTGCCAACAAAATTAATTACATTGTACTAACTTTGCAATTAATCACACAAACAATGATATGCAAGGGCAATTGTAACATATGTTCTGTTAAAAAAAAGGCATTTGGTACTCACAAATACAAATTGGTATGTTTGCAGACCACTGGTTGTTCTCTTGACAAACAATGGATTTCTCTCCAATTAGTTCAAATCCAAACTGACACTCAAACCTTAAAACATCCCGGTTCGAAAATCCATCCCCTTCTCGGATACCATATAACGGTGTTCCAGGATCCCCACAGCTCTCCTTTTCAATTTCTGTTCAAATAACAAATAAATAGAAAATTTATGTTTAGAGGAATAAGGTGCGTTTTCCACAGATATGACCTCTGGTATAGAACAACATTACATATTTTGATGGTATGAATGTCACTAACACAATAAATGGAGGAGAGGCATGAATTTAAATTGCTTTCAATATACAAAACACTAGTGAAGCTATCATGAATTCTGAGCATGGGTCACTGCAGTTGATATAGAATCATATGGGTTATTTCCATTTAATCAGTGCTCAAAAAAAAAAACCAGACAAAAAGGGGGCTGAAAGATATAAATGGCTTCCTTACCCCACTGTTGTTTTTATATGGTGTTCTAATCACAACTGCACATGGCATAAGTTTCATATCTTTCAGCACTCTGTGGTAATCTCAAAGAAATCTAGAGCCCCCCTGTGTTAGATGGTATCTATGTCTGAAATTCCATTTAAATACACAAGACAGGCAAAGGGTGGAAGAAAATAAATATTCCTATTTTATAAATAGGAAACTGGTATATTGGGTATGATTGCCCACTTACACAAGAAACATATAACATAGCAATGAATTGTAGCCAGACCTCCTGAGTCCTGAGCTAGGATGTAAACTACAAGATTATCCTTCTTCCTCTTACTTTCTGTTGGCAGAAAGTAATGGGAGAAAATTAAACTGGTCTATTGAAGTCCATAGACCTGTTCAGGTCAGTAAGTACCAGCTGCATAATTAATTCATTTGTACAAACATGTCTCTATAGTAGACCCAGATGTAATATTTTAGAAAAATTGAACTGTTCCTTGAACTGTTAGATTGAATTTTTTATTTTTATTTATTTATTTTTTTTTGCTTTTCTCTATGATCTCTTTCATTGCTCTTTGTAGAAGTAGTAGTTAGCTGTCTTTGGTTTGTCTAAGAGGCAGAATTACAGACTTACAGGAAAACAGTTGTCTTATTAACAAAGTATTAACAAAGACCCACTTCTTTACAAACTCCTAAGGTTAATCATTATGGTTAATAATAAATACAATTGCAATGGAAGATAGACATTCAATGTAAATATTTAACTTTCTGTTTTGTTAAGTTGCCTATTAAGATATTAGACAATAACAGTAATTAAAAACCTTTACCAAATTAAAAATACATGGCAGATTATAAAGAGAAATGACACCTAGACATGTGCATGAGTTTTAATTTTCACCACCCACTACAGATGTTTGATATAACACTCCCTTGGTGAAAACATGGCTTCAGGGATAGAAGATTATGATATTTCCAGATGTTACACACAATACTAAATAATAAAGGAAAAGGAGTCATCACATACTATCCAAATAACTGCAACTATCTTGCATGACTTGGAGGCCACCACTTTTGGCGCAGAGTCAAGGTGCCTGTTCAGAGCATCCGAGCAGACTTAACAAACTTTAGATGAAGTGCCCCCAATGCCATTTTGAATTGCAGGGACCCTGATACATAAGATGCTCCAGGCGCTTTAATTAGAGTGTCTGCCTCCCCCTGTCACCCCAAAGCACGTGTAAAAATGCCCTCAGAGTTTGTGGTTGGGCAAGTTTGATTTTGTCCAGTTTATATAGATCATACACTGAGGCAAAGGATGAACACAGAGAGGTGCATGTAGCTGGCTCTGAACTGGACCTGTGCCCATCCTGGCTTTGAAAACCCTGCTGCAGGAAGACTGGGAACATGTCTGGCAGGGGTTATCAGACAAGGGTGCTGGACATTCTTAAACCTGCAACTGTCTGGCCCATACTCAAGAAACTATTTCCTGATGCTGACCCTCCAACCTGCACCCCAGCAAGTTATCTCCGCATTTCCAACCTCTTCTTTTTAGGGAAGGTCACTGAGCATTTGGTTGCACAACTCCAGGTGCATCTAGTATTCCTGGATCCCCGTTTCACTTTCTCTTTGGGTATAACAGACAGCCTATGTACATAGCCTTGTTCAATGGTATTCTCTTGGAAATTGACAGGGGATATTGTGCCTTGCTTATCTTACTAGATCTTTCTGAGGCCTTTGTCACAGATAATAATGAGGAGCTGATCAAGTATTTACATGACCTGGTAGGTATTCATGGGGCCACTCTAAACTGGTTCTGCTGTTTCCTAGCTGGGATGTCACCGAGGGAAATGAAAAGTGAGGGCTTTTTATTCCCTCTGGAACTTTCCTGTGAGGTTCTCCAGCACTCCACCCTGCCACCTCTCTTGTTCATTGTGTATATAACATCACTGAATGAGACTGTGCAGAGGTGTGGAGTGAGCTACAATCAATCTGTTGATACCCAGATATATATTTTTCTAATATCATATGGGGCCCCTGCAATCTTGGTCTTTCTAATGCCTGGTTGTACTTGAGGATTGGGTGCAGGTGAAACAACTGATGCTGAATCCAGAAAAGACAGAGGTTAAGAGTTGGGAGGAAGACTGCTTAACCTGAGAAGGATTGGCATGCCTATCCTTGACTGGGGCTTCAGCCTCCCCTTGTAACTCAGGTTGTCAGCCTTGGAGTCTCCTGGATTCTCTCCTACACCTGGATCTTCAGGTGAAGGTGGTGTTTAGGAGTATCTTTCACCAATTCCATCTAATGAGAAGGTTTAGACAACGCAGGCGTCAGCAATGTTTTTGGACAGAGTGACAAAATACTTCAACCTTAATTTGTAAGATGCTGGCATGCAAAGGTCAGATGCCAGAGAAGCCATGAAACCAATCCTTGTTGTGGCAGCACAGCCACAGCCTCTTCCCCACTATCTGCCCTGAGGCAGGCATGCCAAGCAAAATGTTTTCACATGCCACACTGGCACACATGATGGTGGTTGCTTACCCCTGGTTTAGATTTGGCCTGGTTTAGGTTTAGATTTGACCCCTGGTTTAGGTTTAGCTTTTCAGATTTGGATCTGGCCCCTCTCATCCATAACTTCACAATCTCAAGGTTAGATTACTGCAATGAGCTCTTAATGGCCTTTGATGGCCATAGAATCATAGAAAGTTAGGGTTCGAAGGGACCGCAGGAGGTCATCTAGTCCAACCATCTGCTCAAAGTAGGACCATCCCAGCCAAAGCTTTGTCTAGCCAGGATTTGAAAACCACCCAGAAGCTGTAGCTGGTGTAGACTAGAATGTCATTGCACACCTTCTGACTGGGTGGATCACCAGAAGCATATTAACTCCACTGCTCCAGAGTCTGCACTAGTGTCCAGTAGTTTTCTGTGCACAATTCAAAGTGCTGGTTTTGATCAATAATGATCATAGGGCCAACAACTATCCTTTTGTTCCATCATGAACCCTAACATCAGCTGAAAGAAGCCATCTGTAAGTACCATCAACACACCAAGATTGATGAAAACATGTGGGAGGTCATTCTCAGTAGTTGCTCCTCAGCTCTGGAATTCCCTTCCCCTTGATGCCTACCAGAGCCTGAGCCAGCCCATCTTACAGAAGCACTCTAGAAACTTTCTATTTAGCAAGCAAGGCTAAGCTGGGATATTGATTTGGAAGATTTTGTTTTATATTTTATTATATTTGATTTTATAAATTGTTTTGTTCTCTTCCTGCAAGCCTTTCTGAACCTTTTTAGGAAGGACAATACATGCATCTAATAAATAAAATCAAGTAAAATAAAATAATACAGAAAATATTCTACACATGACTGTGTCATTGAAATGGGCTATTAAGATTTTATACAAGAATTCTGTTTATTAGTTTTTTGCCTTTTTAGCACATAACCAAAGTGATACAACAAAAAAGGACTCATGTAATTTGCCATAGCAAGTTTTTCATGTGTAATTTATTGAAACATATATAATATTTTTGTTTTCAGTAGGAAAGAGTGAAGGCATTTTGGAGTAAGGAGTATAAAAACAGTAAAACATAAAAAACTTAAGAGGCATTCTCCCCCTCCCCTTTAAATACAAGCTATAATTATTAATAAGCTGTAATTTTGTTTATTATCAAGACCATGCAACTGATTTTCCTGCTATGTTTATACTGTTTGAATACTGTTTAAAAATAAATCGTTTTCTGCTTTATCCCATCCTTTGACATCTTTATTAGTAAATACATTTTAAAGCTCAGTTTCCCATGCAATTAGTATTATTTTAGTGAAGAAGGAAATCTAGTAATTAGAGCAATGGACTGGGAGCCACAGACTTGAATTTAAGTCTCAACCCATGGTTCACTGAATCTGACTTTCAGCAAATAACTGCTTAATGATGTCCATTTTCCCCCCACATTAAAAAAAAAACCCAACAGTAATGCAGGTGTCTTGTCTAAAACATGAGATCGATACATGAAAGTTGCTTCAGATAGTGTGAAGGGTTACTATTATTATCAAAGAAACAAAGGAAAACAGAGCCATAGTGTGCCAGCTTAAGAGAGGATTCAGAACACATTATTTCCCAGGTATCTGTAGAGCTCTACCACATGTTCCTCATATCACAGTCTAAAACTGCTAGGGAAAGGCAACAAAACTGTTCCATCACTTCTAGTCTAGTACAGACACTGAAAAAGCCCAAGATGCAATCAATCTAAGTTGTACAGTTTTCTGTAAGCAGTGTAGTTTAGATTGGTAGTGAAGAGAGCACACATTCGCCCTTTGTTGAAGGGGCAAATCGTAGCTAGTGTTCCACCATTCTTCAGCCAGTCTGTGTGTGCGCCAAACTTCTGGTCTGTAACAGGTATAGATTGGTTTCTGATCACTTAGAGTAAAAGTGTAATGTCTGTACCTGGCCCTATGCTCTGCTTGTGGGTAGTAACATACAATTGGATTGTTACAAAAAGAATGAGCTCAAGGAGGGTGGTAAAGCACTGCAACAAGTTGCCTAGAGAGATGGCTGAATCTCCATCTTTGGAGATCTGCCTGCCAGAGGAGGGAGGAAAGCTGAGTACTGCCACCTGTGACCAGGGAGCTGGGTTCCACCTGGGCTGCCACCTGGGACCGGGGACCCCAATTGTTCAGTTCCCCTTCCCAGCACTATGATCAGGCTGGCGAAAGGAAC